CATCCCCCGCCACGGACCACACCTTGCCCGTCCCTGGGTGGGCCCCACGCCGCCCACCTCCCCCGCCCCCACAGCCCCCCTGCTTGTCCCAGCCTCCCCCGGGCCCAGCTCCCGTGCCTGCTGGCCCTCTGCCCAGTCCTCCCTTGGCGCCCGGCCTCCACCTCACACCCCATGCCTCCGGCCCCCCAGACCTGCTGAACCAGCCCATGATGGCCTGTGAAGGGCTTCCATGCCCGACCGCGGGCCTGGGCCCCCTGGAGGAGGAAGACACAAAGTCGGGGGTGGCCCCCAGCCCCCCACAGCCAGCCCCCCCACCGCCACTGCCTCCCAAGAAGAGCCTTCCCACCGCTCCCCCCAGACGACATGTGTCAGAGAGGACATCTCTGGAGGGCCGGAGCACGGGGCCGGCTGAGGGCCACCAGTTGGGCCCACCAGCCCAGGGGGCCTCAGACAGCCCTCAGGATGGGCCGCAGGGGGTCCCAGGACATGACCAGGAGGTGGAGGCTAGAGCCAGCGACTCAGGCAACCTACCCGAGCCCCCGAGGAAGACAAAGCAGCCCCCGGTGCCACCCCCCAGGAAAAAACGCATCTCCCGACAGCCAGCCGCTGTCCTTCCTGCCCCCACAGAGGATGGTGAGCTCAGCCTGCAGGCGGCGGTCCCAGAGACGCTCTCGCCCCACCCACCCACAGGAGGCCAGGGTCCAGCCTCTCACACCAGGCCACGGCGGCCCCTCACCCAGGCCAGTCCCCGACCCCAGAGCTCCCCGGAGCTTGTGGGCTCCCTGGCCTCCCTCTCCGACAGCCCTGGGGGGCCTGTCACAGTCGCCGACCAGGACTCTTACTCGACCAGCAGCACAGAGGAGGAGCCGGAACCGGTGGGCAGCACCGACGTGAGAAAGACACCATCCATGCTGCTGGGCAAGGCGCGACACCGGCTCAGCCTTGCCAGCGTCAGCAGCGTCTTCCGCGCCCTGCTCTCCCGCGACCGCAAGCTCTACAGACGTGTGGTGGAGCTGGCACAGGACAAGGCCTCGTACTTCGGCAGCCTGGTGCGGGACTACCGCGTGTACAGCCTGGAGATGATGGTGCACCAGGCATCCAGCACCGAGATGCTGCAGGAGATCCGCACCATGATGACGCAGCTCAAGAGCTACCTGCTGCAGAGCACCGAGCTCAGGGCCCTGGTGGACCCCAGCCTGCATGCTGAGGAGGAGCTGGGTCAGTGTGGGGGAAGAGAAGGGAGGGGGAGAGGGAAGGGGGGAGGGAGGGAAGAAGAGGGAGGAAAGTGGGGGAGGGAGGGAAGGAGGAAGAGGAGGGAGGGAAGAGAAGAGAGGGAGGGGAGGATGGGAGAGAGGAAAGGGGGTAGGAAGGGAAGAATGGGAAGAGGGAGGGAGGGAGGGAAGGATGGGAGGGGGGAGGAGGGGAGGAAAGGAAGGAAGATGGGGAGAGAGGGAAGGATGGGAGGGAGGGAAGTTGGGGGAAGGAGGAAAGGATGGGGAGATAGGGGAAGGAGGAGAGATGGGGGAGGGAAGAATGGTGGGGCAGAGCCAGACTGAACAGAGGCATGACATGATCCAACATGTCCTGACAGCACAGCACTGGCCACTGTGCTGAGTGTGGACTATGAGGGCCCAGGCAGGAGCTTGCTGACGTAACCTGACCAGGGAGGAGGACGGCTGCCTGACCAGCCCAGGTCAGGAGGGACGAGAAGGCAGGTTCTGAGGACACTGGTCTTGAGACTGAGGTCTAGATTAGGAAGTTGGAAGACACAGTGGGGGTGATTCCACCCTCATTCCCTGGCACTCAGGCCCTCGCCTCACAGCTGCCCAGGTTGCACATGGCACGACTCATGTGCATAGCGCCCTCTGAAGTCATGGACCAGTTGGTAGCCCTGTGAGGGCTGACTGTGTGTCAGGCGCTGTGATAGGTGCTAGGGCGCAATGACCTGGAGTGCCCTTGCCAAGTCCTTGCAGTGTGGCTGTGTATTGGACGGATCGCCCTCTGTGTCGACCCACGGGGTGTGACTGTGAGGCTGTGATGTGTCCTCCCAGGGCTGGGGATCGGCACGGTTGTGCCATTGGTTTCCCGTGCCATCCTCACCCTCACCTCTTGCCTCCACAGAGGCGATCGTGGAGTCAGCCTTGTACAAGTGTGTCCTGAAACCCCTGAAGGAGGCCATCGACACATGCCTGCACGAGATCCACAGCCGTGATGGCTCACTGCAGCAACTCCGGGACAACCGGTTGGTGGTTCTGGCTACCACCACCACTGAGCTGGGCGTGACCACCAGCGTGCCCGAGCCACCCACCATGGACAGGATCCTGCAGAAGTTCTCCCACATGCACAAGGCCTACTCGCCCGAGAAGAAGATCTCCATCCTGCTCAAGACCTGCAAGCTCATCTACCACTCCATGGCCCTTGGCAGCCCAGGTGGGGGTGGCAGGCTCCGGGGTTGGTGCCTCCACCACAGGACACCAGAGCCCGTGGGGAGGTACTGGGTATGGCGGGATGGGGCTCCTGAGTCCCATCAGGGGTCAGGGCAAGGCCAAGGTGACGGCCATTGTCGGGAGGGGAGGCCACGTACCACGCTTCTGTGTCAGGGAGAGACACCATCAAGTTCACAGGCCGCCAGAACAGCACTGTTGGCTGGATGCGTGGGTGGCGGAAGCCTGGGATCTCATAGCTCTGGGTACGGGGCTCAGGGTACCTGTGTGGGACATGAGGCACAGCTCTCCACACCCCCCAAGCCTCAGGTCCTTGGCTCTAGCAGCAGAAACTCAGGCTTCATGGGCTCCTGCGTGCCAGCTAGTGCTTCATCACCCCCTGTGAAGACACAGGTCATGGCCACCCTGTCCAGTGTGGCCTCACCCTCAAGTTCCCTCTGCAGCGGCCCTGCTTCGAAGTAGGGTCACCCGCTAAGTTGTGGAGGGTTAGGTGTTAACGTGTGCATGTCCAGGGGATAGCTCAGCCTGGAGACGTCTGATGCTGAGCACGGCTCACAGGTCCACGGGGCAGGGTAGCTGTCTGACCTGGGCCAGGAGGACCTGACCTCGGCTGGGCTGGGGCTGTGAACGGAGGGGCAATGGTGGAGGCTGACTGGCTGGGGTGTCCTTGCCGTATGTGGGTGGTTGATTGGTGCTGTCTGGCCAGGGTGTCCTTTCTCATATATGAGTGATTGATTGGTGCTATCTGACCTGGCGTGAGGACCGACTGAGCAAGCATCTCACTCACTGGCAGGTGAACCCAGGTGTGCACCTATGGTTGCTGCTGGGACCCAAGAGCAAGTGGCCTGTGGGGGCCCTGGTCTGGTGTGATGTGGCTCTGACCCATTTTGTTGACACCAACTCAGATTCAAGGGGGAGAGCTTCCCCTCCTGACAGGAAGGACTGCAGTGTTGCATTGTGGGGGTGCAGATGGAGGGAGGACCGTTGGGACTGTGGGTATCTTTGCCCAACACTCTTGGGAGGCAGCACTGGCCCCACTGCAGGGCTCAGGCAGGAAGGGCTGGCTGGGCCCCACTCCCTGTCATCTCCCCAGCTGCCCTTATCCAGTGAGCAGCCTGTGCATCTGTACGTGACTGCCATGGACACAGGGAGTGGGTGGACAGTCCCCTTTGTGGCCATGCAGGCCTGGGTTTATGCTTCTGGTCTGTCACTTACTACTTGTGAGTTCTGGAACGATTTACTTAACCCCATGGGGCCCAATATCCTTCCCTGAGGAAGCTGCTGTACAGAGAGGGGAGCTAAGACCCCTAAGAAGCTGCCCTTGGTCACCTGTGAATGTGAGACACGCTGCTCCTGGTGTGGCTGTTTCAGGAGGATTCTCTCCCCGTCCCCAGAAGGGCAGGCCGATCAGGTCATCACCCTGCAGAAAGCAGTTGTGTGTGTGTGATGGGTGGGGCAAGGTCCCCTCACCCTAGAAACCTCCCCCGGGGCCTGTACAGGCCACAGTCCCAGGTCATGGTCACTATTTGTGTTAAGTTGATCTGTGTCCCCCCGATGCCTTGTTAGAATGGATGTGTTTCCCATAAGCAGGCAGTACCCTGACCAGAGGACCGGGGACACTTGCCTTGCCCGTGGAGGGGAGGGATGCAGCAGGAGTGGGCACAGGGGTGGGCTTGTTTTCACTGTGTGGACTTAGCCTCGGAGGTGGGCATCCCATGCAGCCTGGAGCCCAGAGAACAGGCTGGGTGGGAACTCCATGACCGAGCAACCTCGGAAAAACCCTCAAGAACTGGGTGGATGTCAGGGCAGTCTGGAGGCCAGTCTTGGGAGCTCAGCCATGGTTGGTCCCAGGGTTGGAGCATGGGAAAGGGCCGATGCCCAGCAAATGGACAGAGGTTGAGCCTAGCGTGGCCAGCAGCTTCCTCAGACCTTCTTAGGGGAGGCAGGGGTGTGAGGCAGGCTCTGAGGGGTCCTGACGGTGTGTTGGGAGCATCGAGAATCCGGGCCACACCAGAGCAGAGACGGGACCTGGGGACCCTGCGCCAGGAGCAGCTTGGGAGAGCCAGCAGCCACCTGGGGTCCCGGAGAGCACGGAGTGTCAGCCTGGCATCCCTGCCAGCTCCATTCTTCTTGGCCCTGACACCTGCGTGGCCTCTGTCTCCTGTGGTGAATAGGCACAGCCCATCCAGGAGGCTGCCTCGTTTAGAGGGGCTGGCGGCTTATGAGTTGCTGCCGGCAGGGGTTACTGGCCCTGGCTGCCATGCTGATGGAGGTTTTCCTGGACTCATGAGCTCGGGGCTCAAGTTAGGGCCGTGGCCTCTGAGAACCCAGACACCATCGGGGAGACAGCTCCAGGCTGCGGAGGGGCCATCTCGACCTTGAGGGGTTCCAGTCCATGCAGAGACCTGGGAGTCTTCTTAAACCTGTGATGTTTTTCTAGTCAACTGATAATCATGTGGACCCCCCGGCGCAGCACATGCACCTTGCGCATGGCAGAATCTGGCCAGTTAGCCCACAGTGGCTTCTGCATGTAGGAAGCAGATGCCACGGCTCTTGGACAATGAATGTGCTCACCACCATTTTCCCGTGGGCAGGCCTGTCTCTCTGTGTGCCTCTTGCAGTCTCTTTCTCTCTCTCTGCCTCTGTCTGTCTGTCTTTCACTCTCTGTCTCTCTCTCTGTGTCTCTCTCTCTGTGTGTTTCTCTTTCTGTCTCTGTCTTTCTTTCTCTGTTTTTTTCTCTGTCTCTCCCTCTGCCTCTGTCTCTCTCTGTCTCTGTCTTTCTCTCTCTGTCTCTGTCTCTCTGCCTCTGTCTCTGTGTGTGTGTCTCTGTCTTTCTCTGTCTGTCTCTGTCTCCCTTTCTGTCTCTGTCTCTCTCTGTGTGTCTCTCACTCTGACTCTGCCTGTCTCTCTCTCTCTCTGTCTCTTTCTCTGTCTCCCTCTGTCTCTGTGTGTCTCCCTGTCTCTCTGTCTCTGTCTCTCTCTCTCTCTGTCACTCCCTCTGTCTCTCTCTGTCTCTGTCTCTCTTTCTCTCTCTCTCTCTGTCTTCTTTGTCTGTGTCTCTCTGTTTCTATCTCTCTGTCTGCCTCTCTCTGCCTTTCTCTGTCTTTTCTCTGTCTATCTCTCTGTCTCTTTTCTTTCTCTCTTTATCCCCTCTGTCTGCCTCTCTCTATCTGTCTTTTCTCTGCCTGTCTCTCTCTCTTTTCTCTGTCTCTCTGTGTCTCTCTCTCTACCTCTCTCTATCTCTCTGTTTCCCTCTCTGTCCTCTTTATTTCCTTGTCTCTGTCTCTCTTCCTCTCTGTCTCCCTCTTTTCTCTCTCTCTCGCTTTGATCTGTCTCCCTCTCTGTCTCTCTCTGTCTCTGTTTCCCTGACTCTCTATGTCTCTGTCTTTCTCTCTCTCTCTGTCTCCCTCTCTATCTCTCTCTTTTCTGTCTCTTTGTATTTGTCTTCCTGTCTCTCTCTGTCTTTGTCTCTATCTCTCTCTGTCTCTCTTTGTCTTTCTGTCTCTCTGTCTCTGTCTCCCTCTCTGTCTCTCTCTATCTCTCTTTGTCTCTCTTTTTATCTCGTTCTCTCTGTCTCTGTCTCTTTCTTTCTCCCTCTTTCTTTATAGCTATCTTTCTCTTTCTTGTTTTCTCTTTCTGTCTCTCTCTGTTTCTCTATCTCTGCCTCTTTCTATCTTTGTCTCCCTCTCGCTTTCTGTCTCTGTCTCCCTCTATGTCTCTCTCTGTTTCTCTATCTCTCTGTCTCTCTCGTTCTCTCTTTCTGTCTCTCTCTGTTTCTCTGTCTCTGTCTGTCTCTGTCTCCCTCTCTGTCTCTCGTTTTCTGTCTCTCTCTCCCTCTCTGTCTCTCTCTTTCTGTCTCTGTCTCCCTCTCTGTCCCTCTCTCTTTTCTCTGCCTCTCTCTGTTTCTCTATCTCTCTCTGTCTTTCTGTCTCTTTCTCTGTCTCTCTCTATCTCTGTCTCTTTCTATCTCTCTCTGTCTCTGTTTCCTTCTGTCTCTCTATATCTCTGTCTCTCTGTATCTCTCTCTGTCTTTATCTCTCTTTTTCTCTGTCACTCTGTCTCTCTCTACCTCTCTCTCTCTGTCTGTCTCTCTGTCTCTCTTTCTGTCTCTGCATACAAGATTTTTTCTGAATCACACAGAATGGGTGACCCCTAAAGACCTTCCTGAGTGTTCTTTGGATTGTATGTGTCTAAGATCACGTAACTCCACATAACCACAATGGAGCTGTCTCTTTCATAAATTCATGTTAATACTCCATACAATGATTTTATATAAGCTTCCAGGTTGTTACTAGACCTAAGGTCCTTTTTAGAACTTCCCCTTCCAGGTCAGGGTCCAGTGAAGGAACAGATGTGGCATTTAATTGTCATGTGTCTGTAACCTTCTTTGATTTAGAATATGTCATGTCTAGTGCCACAGAAGTGACCCATACACACCTCAGTGGTCTAGCCTGCTCCACGCCAGGTGCGTGGTCTAGCCTGTCACTCTGGGCCACACCTGCACAGTGTGACGGCACTGGACACTGTGGTTGGCTGTAACAGACAGTGTTTGAATCGCTAAACATAAACACTGAAAGGCCTATGAGACATGGTGTTATAGTCTCCCAGGATGCTGCCTATGAGGGCTGTGTTGGCAGGATGTTGTCATGGCTGTGTGGCCATGTTTCCACAACCTTTCCTTTCTTTGGTGACACTGGTGTCTCTGAGGGGATTGGTCTTCCTCTCTGCCCCCTTTTTTTTTTTTTTTTTTTTTTTTTTTT